AAGCAAGATTTACATTGAAAGAAATAGAAGGTTCTCATACTGTTATCATCTGATTGGTACAGACAAAGTGTGGAGAGTTCCAAGATTTCCAGCAGTCTCCTGAGATCAACACTTTGATTGCCCCAATGTCCTATCTGATTGGAAGATCACAGTACTTTGATCCAGGCAATGATGATGTAATGGTTTGCTGAGCCACTCACTGTGACACAACTTGTGTTCTGAGCCCATAATAAGTATGTGATCTGTACATCCTGTAGAGAAAACAATGTGTGTAAGCCAATTCCAAGACTGTACACTCTTGCAGTTCTGTTTGCAAATGCTTGCAATGTAGAATAGTTGGGTGTTCTCAGAGTAGGCTTCTATGAGTCATGTGGGTGTTCAGAATTGATTGCTGTGATTGTCTGCATGTGATGTATGGTTCTTAGCATGATGCTGATTGTTTCAGTACAAGATAATATAGACCAAATTGAACATACAATGTACAAAATACAGGGGAAAAGACAATTGGCCTACATTTTCAAACAATACACATTCTGTATCTTCCTAACGTTCTCTGTCAGTGTTTCTACCTTTTTCCCACCACCTTCATCTGATACAATGACAATGTTAAGACTCTTGACTTCAGGACAATCAAACCACTCAAAACTCTTAGAGTGGAGGTTGTGAGAGGATGTTTGGCATGTGACTTGGATAGCCACCATATTACTGTCTTGCAGGTTAAAAATCCAGACATCAAATGCAGGATTTGTGACATACTTCAGAACATACATTGTACCCTCTACTGTCATTGTCTCCTTGGGGCTGAAGTTGATACAAGCCACTTCTGCAAAATTTCTTTCTCCTAGAGAATGGTGCATATCCCTTGTTATTGTTACTGAACTGCCCTTGTACCTAATAAGCAATGTGTACACTGATGCAGCTTCATTGTAGTCCTAAGTAACCTTTGTTGGTTGTCCTCAACCTTGCTTTTTGCTCTTCTCTATAGCCTGCATGTTCCACACCCCACCTAGGGTTCTGTATGTATGTGTATACACATACATGTGTATAATACAACTTAAATACACATACGTGTGTATAAAAATGTGTGTATACAGACACAATAGGACCTTGATACAATACAGACACACTGTATACAGTATATATGTTGTATACAAGAAATAGTATATTAAATAGAGTAAAGTACACTATTTAGCTGAAAAACACAATACAAACAGTCTCTGTATTGTCCCCTCAGCATCCAAGTACACTCACATCCGTCACTACATTATTAAATATTAATAGTAGCATTTGACACCTACTTGACAATTATCACATGACCTGTTGTCTTGAGCTAAGAATGTATTCTATAACAAACACACAGCTGAAAAGTGAATTCTATAACAATATTAGAATGTATTATAGTTGTATTAGGTAGATAAATGCACAGAATAATAAAAAACATACTAGAAATTCAGTAAATACTACAGGCCTAAGTTAGACTTTGAGATTAGTGTATAAGCTGTATAAACTGTATACAGTAATTTTTTTTGTTTGAAATACAGATACACAAATAGAAATACATGCATATATTTGGAAAATTTAAGCTCCATACAATACAGTGTGTATACATATACACTAAAGGTGTATGTGTATAATACACAATACTGTAGAACCCTAGCCCTACCCTCCTGAAAATTAACTATTGTAATTGCCTCTAATAGGTAACTAGCAGCTACTCTGGCTTTAGGACTCCCTAAGAAGAATTGGTAGAGTTCCTGGACCTTTTGTCTCTCCACACCCAGGATTCAGGAAGGTGTCTATTATTAGCACTGCAACTGACTTGATTGCAAACTTAACATAGAAATCAGAACAATCATTACTACTAGGCTTTACAACAAGCATGTTGTGAGAGAACTTAGTATCAAAATAGCTACTGCTCAGGCTTCTAATTGTATTGCTTAGGCTGTCCCAAGGCACATGCAAGATATTCTGTCTGATTTTTCCTTTGTATACTTCTGGTCTGGAGGCATTAGGACCCCATATGCAGAAGAAGAGCTGCAATTGGTGTTTGGTTGGTAGAGTATTGCAAAATTGAAAATATTGCCTATTAGAATTATTATTGTTATATGAATCATTTTCATGTTGGAAAATAGTGGCCTACACTACAATAAATTCCTAAGACTCAAACAGATACATTCATCTAGTCCAAACAAAGTATTTGCTTGTAGAATTGAATTGATGTTCTCATAGTAATGCAGCCACAATCAGCTTCTGAGAGAATGAAACACAGGCATTGAGGAACAAAATAGGCAGTTTGGCAACTGCCCTATTGCTATCCACAAGGAACCAAGTATGTTCTAGTAAGAATGCAAGCTCTGCTTCCATCTCCTTACAGACAAACATGCTAGCTGCTTCAAATATTATGAACTCATTCTTTTGAAACTGTAGAACAGTTGTTTGTTGTGCAAGGAGGCATAGTGCAAGCACATACAGAAGAAATAATGTTTTCCCTGAAATACCAATGTGTACAGTTCAGCAAAAAAAAAAAAAAAGAAAAAAGAAAATTGCATCTCCCACCAATACTAGGCGTTCCAGTGACAATAACTCTGGTGATTAGGTCCTCCTGGACTGATTTAACGTTCAGCTCCATGAAAGGATTGTGTGGAGGAAATAATCTAGGGTCTACAATCCTTTCGTCTGGGACATAGCCAGCTTATGCACTGAAATTGAGGGCAAAGACATTAAAGATCTTTGACAACATTTTACAATACTCATCCTACACAAAAATTCCACAGCATTTAAAAGGAGTATGTAAGATATGTGGAGATTCTGCCCTAATGTGCCATCCTAGTGTGCATGCCTTCTTCAGGATGTCTTCACTTGTGCAGCCCTCCTTCTGTGCATCACAGACAATGTCTGTCAAGGCAAATACTGAAACTGTGTTTTGCAACGTTCAGGTCTTGTCATACAACACAGCTAAAGATCCATTCGAGTTGTTCGTCCTTTTGATTTTGTGCACTTGGACACCATATTCAGTCAGGATGGACGAAGCAAGGTTGTCAGACATAACAGACACAATGAATAACACACACTAGGACAGAGGTAAGACAAGGGGATAAGTAAGTTGTAGTTGATGAATTAACAAGTGATTGAACTTAGGATGCTATGAAATTGAATTGCAAATTTACAATGATGTAGGGATTCGTCTGTTGCAGTTCCTGTGATTCGAGAGTTTTTCCCTGTGCCATTTGAATGGGAACATTTGTTTCATTGTTCCTTTCACAGAGTGAAATGGGCTGCATTCCTTAAAGTGAGTAGTACATCATGTTCATTTGTAACTATATTGAGTACTCTGTCTAGAGACACTGAACAAGTTCCTCAAGACCAATGAACTGCCAGGCAAAGAGAATGCTCCACTGGATGCTTACCACATCACAGTCCATTACTTCCTAGGCAGAGAGAGGACTTGTGAACTATTGTACAGTGCCCATTCCAATCTGACAAAAGATTCTGGGTTGAAAGATCCTCCCTCAGGGCCTCAGGAGGAGGAATAACTGATACAGAATACCAACCTAAAGACATATTACTCAAAATCACTTATGCCTTTATTGTGCTTTATTGCTTTGGTAGTACAGACACGATTCACACGAAGGATATGCTTCAAAAATATGCTGAGGACCATTATCCTGTTAATCTTGCTAAAGAAAGGCGAATCTGTTGGCTGAGAAGAGACAAAGAGCAGGATATTGAGGATGAAAGACATAATGCTTTCTGGGACTGGATTGATGCATTTCAGATGAAGGTTCATGGCATTCGGCCTGAGGACATTAAAGCAGAGGAAGAGCAACACAAGAAAGAGGCAGAGGAGTTAGAAACTCAGAGAATTGCTGGATGGCAGAAGAGTGTTGATGAGAGTTTCTGTGACGAGCACAATGACAATTCCAGAAATTCTAGCATAAACGAAGAAGACAAGGAAATAGACACCTGTAGTAGTGATGACAAGAAGCTGTTCAGTATAGAGGTGGCTCTCAGCAGAAGTCCACCATTGTATGGTCCATATCCCATTTGATTAGCCAAAACATATTCTATTAGTTCGATCCAATAATTTTGTAGAGTTTTTTGATTTTATAATTGTATGACTATAACAAACAGAAAGTAGAAGTTGCTCTGCAAAGTAATAAGTATTCTATCTTCACTCACAACGTAACTCTATATTTGTTTATACAAACTATCCTTGAATGAAGATTCTCTTAATAATTGTTCATAATTATTTTCTCATCAGTGTCTACACCAACAGGCAGAATAGTACCCATTGTAGAATGTACTTGCTTTGGTTATTGACAGCCCTGGACAAAGCAGCTACAAAGTCGGATTGTACACAGTAATACTTTTACAATGGGCAGCTTGCATACTGAAAGGCCTGAGAAGCACAACGAGGGCTCTTTGAGGCAGAAATAAGTAGCTGTACCATTATGAGAGGGATTAGTGATGAGAATCCTATTGGATACACAAAAATGACATGATAAACATGGTGCCACATTGTTTCTACCTAGATGCTGACGCTAGAAGTTGAGCTTATCAAAATGAAAATAGAAATAGTTATCATAACAAGCAAAGTTGTATTTACTCTACAATATCTAAATACTGCTGTGCCACAGTCTGCACAGGAGTAAAGCATAATATTTTGTAACTCAAACAGTGTTAGAAGAACGTGTGATGTATTTCATACTAAATATGTGAAGCTTTGCTTTAATGTCAGTCTTTACCATAATAATATAGAACCTCAACGTCCATCACAAACCCACACTCCAGTCCCACTCCCATTCACACACCACAATTTCTTTTTTATGTTGGAAAACATGTCTATGTTGAGAGGTACCTACAGTACTAATACATGTAACAATAATTATCTCAATACAAAGTTAATCCTTGTTGGTCAATGGACCTGCAAATTGATGTCCAAATAGAATGTCCATCTCAGTTGCTGTCTGAAGGCTCGTTCGTGTCTTTTGCAATAGTGGATAGTGAATTTTAGCAGCTAGGATGTTGAATTGCAAGACCACATGATTACCACTATGATCAAACTCTGCAGCCTGGCCTTTAATGACACCACCTACTCTGAGTGAGATGCAGCGATTATGAACCATGTTGCATAATGCTTTACTACTGTTTTCAAAATACCTGGCACTGATGTGTTTTGTGACGTTTTGTCACAATAAACATGTCAGAATACAAAATTCACTATAACTCAATCAATACTCAACCATTCTGTGTGATTTAAGTTGCTAAATTCATTAATATAAAATATCTTTCATATTCCAACAAAAAAGGAGAGAATTGAGTAAAAATTGGCTGAGATACAGTACAAAATGTGAATTTTCTATGTAACACTCATTTTTATTTTTTCTCTGAATCAAAACTAGATATATAAGCTTGGAAAACTGTTTATTCTAGTCAGATACATTAATACTTAATTTACATAGTCAATTTTTTGTGAATAGATTACTTATTCTGCTTTACTGAGAGAGGGCTAAAATGTGTAAAACTAACTATTTTACTTTATTCCCCCCCACACTCAATAAATTATTCTTGACCTCAAACTGTATTCCTAAATTAAATATAAGTATAATAAAGTGTATTACAGAAAGTTTCATGTTCATGTGTTGAGAATTGAGCTTAGTATA